CCCCTGTAATATGGATTCTCAATGAACCAGATTTTAAGCTTTGCAAAGGGACAAATCTAGAATGAATAAACTAATGTATATATATGGTGGAGAGAATAACTTTGAACTTATTTGCGTTTTCTCCTCAACTGTCAACAAATTTGCCCAAGAATTAAGGATGACAATCCAAGGGATTATCGCCATTTTTTATTTTTTATTTTTGTATGATTGATTGGCATATAATTTTATTAATAATCAAAATGATCATGGTATTAAAGTAGTTATGAAGAGACAAATTAACAATCTATCATATTTCTAAAATTAATTTTCATCTAAAGACTGATAGTCTCTAGTCTTATTATATTCTAATTTATGATTGAATAGCTATTTTAATTATTCAACTTTTATAAGATAATGTCGTTTTGTCATTTTGCATAAATTATCTAACCAATCAACTTGGGAACAACTCATATATCAATATCTGTTATTATTTTGATAGAAATATATAAAATAACAGAAAAAAAAAGTGTGAATTTCATTACTAATACAATAAAACCTCTATATAATTATACTCTATATAGGAATAAACTCTACATAATCATAAAAAATTATATTCTCAATTTGGGATAGTTATAAATAAAAATAAATTCTACATTGTAATAAGTTATAATTTTTCTAATTCCCGTCTTAAGAAAAGTTACCTCCCTATAGTAATAATTATCTGTATATTGCAAAAAAAAATATGGTATGTTACATTAAAAGTTGAAGATAAAATAAAATATTTATCTGAAGTTGTTTGAGACAATAATTTATGTTTTAGAGTTGTTATTATATCTTTTAACTTGTGGGTATATTACTCACTAGCATGAACATTTTCTTATTAAAGCCAAAACATTTCTAGCTTCTCAAGCATATTTAGAGCTTCTTGACATGAAACTTTTAGTATTTCCGTACTATCAACCTCATAATTATTTCATTTCTCTTCTTGTTTAATTGTAGAAATGATTTCTTCTTTTGTAAAAGCGTACATGACTTGTTACTCATTTGGATGATTAAGGTTGACATTAATATTCATTTGATTAGTATAGTGAAGTTGTCGAATCTGATTACTCAATTCTACAATGACTCTTTGATTCTCCTCATCCACTTCATTTGTAACTTGCAATTATCGACATCGGGGGTCCTAATTTTGTAATGCTTAAAACAATTGGCAATTGTCTGTGACTTCACATAAGTTATCATGCAGCAACTACATTTACAATTTAATCAAGGACAGTTATCTTTGTTGGTTTCAAAACACGATCTTCTATCCGTTTCAAAAGTAGGCAATAGAAGGGTGAATTGAAACCGTAATATTATTAAAACATGAATTTAAATCCTAATATTATATTACTAAAATATGAATTATGAAATAAAAAAATTTTTTTAACTACACCTCTATTAAGTTATAACTTCTTCATAGTAATAAAATTAGTTAGTCACACCATTATGACTATAAAAAAGTTTTACTATATTTGATTAGTCTTAGGGTGACTACTTTGCAGAATTTAAACGAGAATCAGAGGTGCAAAAACATAGTCCAAAGTCNGTTCATATATATTTATTCTTTATTAGGAGATGGGATTTGTTTAATCATATCAATATGGACTTGATGAAGATACATAACATAAAATATACTTAACTTTGTCACCAATTAATTAAAGTAGCTTTCATTTAATTTCTTAATTTCTTAATTTCCATCACCATTATCTTCAATAACTTCTCTCTCAAGCCCGTGATCAAATGCAGCAAGGAAAGAATGCTTGAGACGAAAGAGACAAACCTATCCATTCTTGAAGTTTTGACTATAAACTTAATCAATAATAATAAATACTGAAGATCCTCTTTACTTATATTGAGAATATCAAGTCCTTAAATAAGTAATTTAATGAATACTTATTGGTTCTTTTTATTCAAATTCAATTTCAGGGTATAGTTTAAGATTAGATTGTTTTTAAAAAGGTTTAAGAGCCCAATGAATAGTCAGTAAAGAGCTTAATTATTGCCTTAAATTTAGGATTTTGACTATTTCATAGTTAAAATGCACGGTTATCTCAGTTTTTAAATCATCTTGACAAACTAATTTTGATTGGCCGCCATGTATAAAAACTTAGGTCAAAATAAAAAATATTGGGTAATGAGCTTGCACAACAAGACATGAATGAAGGTCAATTAAAAGGAGGGTGAACTGGTGGGTGCTCCATTGACTGGCCTTGAACATGGTTTCGTTGTAAACTCCAATCACAGATCCCTATTCTCTTTCATTAATTATTATTATTTGTCTTTATTAATCAAAATTAAACTAATTACAAGTGTTCAAAGGCCGGCCGGATCCAACCAAAAAGATGAAAGAAGTGGGCACGATGTTGAACAGGCTGTTAGTCATCTAAAAGGGTCCTCAATTTCAGATTCTCTCAGCCAAGTCAGATCGACCACAACCCTTTATTAGCCAAAGAAGAAAAGGACATAAACCATAATTTTCATTTTTGTTAATGAAGTTGTTGTACTTATGATTCAATATAAAAAAATTGTCTTCAAGACTTTTAGCGCCTTGCCCTAATTTTTCAAATAAATTCAATGTAGAAGAAACTGACTGTGCATATTTTTATCTCTTAGATTGTAAGTTAATCCCAAAAAAAAAAAAGAAAAAAAGTCAACTTGAATGACAACAAATCAACAAGGATGGGGAAGATCCATCCGTTTATATTTGGCTGCAGCCTGCAATGCATATCATGCTCAATCTTATCCACTTCTAAATTGGACCTTTGATCATTAATTTTAAAGATATTGGGGGATTATCTTTAGCAACTTGAAATCCCATGTAATATGGATTCTCAATGAACCAGATTTTAAGCTTTGCAAAGGGACAAATCTAGAATGAATAAACTAGTGTATATATATGGTGGAGAGAATAACTTTGAACTTATTGCGTTTCCTCCTCAACTGTCAACAAATTTGCCCAAGAATTAAGGATGACAATCCAAGGGATTATCGCCATTTTTTATTTTTTATTTTTGTATGATTGATTGGCATATAATTTTATTAATAATCAAAATGATCATGGTATTAAAGTAGTTATGAAGAGACAAATTAACAATCTATCATATTTCTAAAATTAATTTTCATCTAAAGACTGATAGTCTCTAGTCTTATTATATTCTGATTTATGATTGAATAGCTATTTTAATTATTCAACTTTTATAAGATAATGTCGTTTTGTCTTTTTGCATAAATTATCTAATCAATCAACTTGGGAACAACTCATATATCAATATCTGTTATTATTTTGATAGAAACATATAAAATAACAGAAAAAAAAAAAGAAAAAAAAGTGTGAATTTCATTACTAATATTTGATTAGTCTTAGGGTGACTACTTTGCAGAATTTAAACGAGAATCAGAGGTGCAAAAACATAGTCCAAACAGCCGGTTATGTATGTTTTTCATCTTCTAGATTTTTGAGAAGGAATTAGGTAAGTGTAATGGTTTATGTTATGTAGAAGGCAAAAGTAAAGAAAAGACGGATGCATGGATGCGTTGGTTCCACATGGAGCAACACAATTGGGCTGTCAAACATATAATTTGGGAGAGCTGTTGAACTAACAAAGAAGCAATAATATATATTATAGTTAAGAGTAAGAATGAATATGAGAAGTGAAGAATAAGAGAGTTGGGTTAGAGAGAGAGAGAAAGCCGACAGAGAGCATCTTTTGATGCATATGGGTTAGAGTCCGCAAGTCATGCGAGTGTCTTTCTTTCTTAAGAGTTGCAGCAAACTCTCCGGCGCTCGTGCTCCTGCTAACCCCTCTTTCTCTTTCTGAGTTTTGTCAGCGCTATCCACGCGTCTTTACTCTCATACCCATCCCCCCTCTACTTCTCTCTGCAGGAGGTTTATGCATGCGCTCATTTCATACCACTACTAGTCAACTTTAAGAAGTTTAACTACATTTTATGTTCAAGTTTAAGTACATGTTTCAGTTGATGGATTCTCTCTGGATAAATATGGACATATATTCATACTTCATCTTTTATTTAATAAGCTATTCTACTTTGTCTTCAGTTTTGGATTTTGATTACGATGTTGCATATATACGTGTTTAATATAATTGTAATTATGGATTAACTGGATAAGTACTTAAGCATGCATGGGTTCGTAGGGATCCTGGGTTGTCCTTTCACATAAAATCTTGGGTCCAAATTGAACTTACTAACCCATTTTCTAAAAGTTTCACAAACTATTTGCTAGCTCAACATTACTAATCATGGAATCCTTGAGTTAATTATTACATTCTGGTTGGTTATAATTTTGGCAGTTTCATGATCGAATAATGCATAGTAAAATAGTTATTAGGTAGCTTAGATAAATTATATCTTTCTTTTTCTTCTCCTATGTTGTGCCCTAGAAGTCTCAAAACTCAATAATTACAACTACGAGTTCTCAAAGGGAAACTAAATGAAATAGACCCGACGGGAATGGGGGAAGAAACACGTGTCGTATAGTGGACCCAAACATTAACATTGAAAGAGAGATAGAATTTGCAAAGCTAGGGTGCATGTGGGTCATGGAAAATTGAAGCGGACATCTCCATCTTGAGAGCCCCATTTTAATGCGCCACCTACTCTTTTCCTTCATTTAAATTACCCTGATGAAGTTGCTCCTCTATGAAAACAAGCTACCTTTACATTCTCTATAGACATTATAAAAGAAAATAACAAGGAAATGATGGAAGAAGAGAAGGGATGCATGGGAATGATAGATACGTAAGACAAAAATAACAAAAGGCAAGAATTATAATCAAATGGAGAGGAAGAAATTAGGAAAAGGTTAAAGAGGGCTAAGATTGGAGATAAGGAGCAAGTTGAGTTGAAGAAAATTAAAATAATAAGAGAAAGAGAGTGTTGGAGCGGACAAAAGAGTGAAAGTTTTGGGAACCATCCACCGCCCATAAGCGTACGCACTTATTACCCAAATTCAATCTATTCTCTCCTCTCCATCTAACCCTAACCCAACACCTCTTTCTTTTCTCCCAAACTCTCAACCTAAACACCATCGGAACCTCCACTAAGACTTTAATTTTCAGCTCTGAATTTGGTGGGTGACAACAATTTCCACTCATCTCTCTCCTTTCTGCTGAACCCAAGTTGTACTACTCTCCATTAAACAATTCATTCAACCAAGGGAGTAAGAATAAAGGAGAGTGGTTTCAATTTTCTTATTATTATTATTTTTTTTTCTCTAGCCTTTTTCCTTCCACTATCCTTCGTCTTTTACAATTAGCTCAACCTTTACGCCTTCCTACTTCCCTTTCTCGGTCCTTAATTTCTCACTTCTGTTTACGTTTTTGTGAGAGGAAGTAAGATCTCTGACGTAGTGGTTAAAGAATTATATACATAGCAAATTATAAGGCATGGATCCGGTTACAGCGCATGGACATTCTCTTCCTCCTCCTTTCCACACTAGAGATTTTCAACTTCACCACCACCAACAGCAGCAACAACATCAATTTCACCACCAACAGCAACAGAACTCAGAAGACGAACAAAGTGGCAGCAGCGGCGGCATAAACAGGGGTATCAAATTAGATCGCGATGAGAACAACAACAACAGTAACAACAACACAAACAGTAGCGATGGCAAAGAACTCATCCAAGCTTCGGGTGAAGGAGAGATGACAAGGAGACCACGAGGCCGACCCGCTGGATCAAAGAACAAGCCCAAACCGCCCATCATCATCACTCGTGATAGCGCCAACGCTCTACGCACCCATGTTATGGAAATAGCAGATGGCTGTGACATTGTTGAGAGTGTTGCTACATTTGCTAGGCGAAGACAAAGAGGGGTTTGCATACTGAGTGGCACCGGCACTGTAACGAATGTAACTCTTCGGCAACCAGCTTCACCTGGTGCAATTGTATCTTTACACGGTCGGTTTGAGATATTATCACTAGCTGGTTCATTCTTGCCACCACCAGCACCACCTGCCGCTTCAGGGTTAACCATATATTTAGCCGGTGGTCAAGGCCAAGTGGTTGGTGGAAGTGTTGTTGGGACGCTTATTAGTTCCGGTCCGGTGGTGATTATGGCTGCATCTTTTAGTAATGCTGCTTATGAGAGGCTTCCTTTAGAAGAAGAAGACCCTCAGGTACCAATGCAAGGGGGTTCTATTGGGTCACCTGGAGGAGTTTCACAGCAGCAGCAGCCACAGCAACAAGTTATGGGTGAGCAAAATGCGCCTTTATTTCATGGATTACCGCCTAATCTCCTCAATTCTATTCAGTTACCAACGGAAGCTTACTGGGCTACTGGTCGCCCTCCATACTAGCTGACAGATTTCATTGAAGGGTAATACGTGAATCAATTGAATCATTTAGTTACACACCATCGATCGATCTCACCTTCAGCAATTTACAAGAAGTCGCGGAATTTGTAGCTAGAGAATTTGGTTTGTTGAGCATTTCTCAGGTTTCTTAATTTTCTCCTTTAGTATTTGTTTCAGATTTGATGATTAGGTAATTATATGCTTGCATGTTGCATTGAAGGACTATGTAAATTCATGGATTCTCAGTGAGTTTGATTTTATGGAAATAACTGTTGCCTACTAAAGAACGAATATCGATAACTTTTCTCACAAAATTCAGTTGTCGGCCTTAGCCACAAATAAATCCCAATNAAACTCTCAACCTAAACACCATCGGAACCTCCACTAAGACTTTAATTTTCAGCTCTGAATTTGGTGGGTGACAACAATTTCCACTCATCTCTCTCCTTTCTGCTGAACCCAAGTTGTACTACTCTCCATTAAACAATTCATTCAACCAAGGGAGTAAGAATAAAGGAGAGTGGTTTCAATTTTCTTATTATTATTATTTTTTTTTCTCTAGCCTTTTTCCTTCCACTATCCTTCGTCTTTTACAATTAGCTCAACCTTTACGCCTTCCTACTTCCCTTTCTCGGTCCTTAATTTCTCACTTCTGTTTACGTTTTTGTGAGAGGAAGTAAGATCTCTGACGTAGTGGTTAAAGAATTATATACATAGCAAATTATAAGGCATGGATCCGGTTACAGCGCATGGACATTCTCTTCCTCCTCCTTTCCACACTAGAGATTTTCAACTTCACCACCACCAACAGCAGCAACAACATCAATTTCACCACCAACAGCAACAGAACTCAGAAGACGAACAAAGTGGCAGCAGCGGCGGCATAAACAGGGGTATCAAATTAGATCGCGATGAGAACAACAACAACAGTAACAACAACACAAACAGTAGCGATGGCAAAGAACTCATCCAAGCTTCGGGTGAAGGAGAGATGACAAGGAGACCACGAGGCCGACCCGCTGGATCAAAGAACAAGCCCAAACCGCCCATCATCATCACTCGTGATAGCGCCAACGCTCTACGCACCCATGTTATGGAAATAGCAGATGGCTGTGACATTGTTGAGAGTGTTGCTACATTTGCTAGGCGAAGACAAAGAGGGGTTTGCATACTGAGTGGCACCGGCACTGTAACGAATGTAACTCTTCGGCAACCAGCTTCACCTGGTGCAATTGTATCTTTACACGGTCGGTTTGAGATATTATCACTAGCTGGTTCATTCTTGCCACCACCAGCACCACCTGCCGCTTCAGGGTTAACCATATATTTAGCCGGTGGTCAAGGCCAAGTGGTTGGTGGAAGTGTTGTTGGGACGCTTATTAGTTCCGGTCCGGTGGTGATTATGGCTGCATCTTTTAGTAATGCTGCTTATGAGAGGCTTCCTTTAGAAGAAGAAGACCCTCAGGTACCAATGCAAGGGGGTTCTATTGGGTCACCTGGAGGAGTTTCACAGCAGCAGCAGCCACAGCAACAAGTTATGGGTGAGCAAAATGCGCCTTTATTTCATGGATTACCGCCTAATCTCCTCAATTCTATTCAGTTACCAACGGAAGCTTACTGGGCTACTGGTCGCCCTCCATACTAGCTGACAGATTTCATTGAAGGGTAATACGTGAATCAATTGAATCATTTAGTTACACACCATCGATCGATCTCACCTTCAGCAATTTACAAGAAGTCGCGGAATTTGTAGCTAGAGAATTTGGTTTGTTGAGCATTTCTCAGGTTTCTTAATTTTCTCCTTTAGTATTTGTTTCAGATTTGATGATTAGGTAATTATATGCTTGCATGTTGCATTGAAGGACTATGTAAATTCATGGATTCTCAGTGAGTTTGATTTTATGGAAATAACTGTTGCCTACTAAAGAACGAATATCGATAACTTTTCTCACAAAATTCAGTTGTCGGCCTTAGCCACAAATAAATCCCAATTATTTTGAAATTTTCATTTCTACATAAATGCAAAACTTGCCCTCGAGATTTGGCCTAGCTAGGAAGATCCCCTAATTCATCATCATAACTGGAAAAAAAAACACACACATATATATATATATATATATATATATGAAGCACACACCCCACTTTGATTTTCAGGAATCAAGGAAATAAATGGAGTTCATTTCTTGAGTCAAACACATTAACTCACTTCAATCTCTCTATGGATTTTTGCAACTTCAAGGCAAAAAAGAGAGGAGATATATTATGGCATATATATATATGTTTAACTAGAGTACAGGTAGTACAATTATATGAGTTGTTTGTGTGTATAAGGTGATAAGGTCAAAGGATGTGAATTAAAGCTATAAGTAGAAGGTGGCAAGTGAGTAAGGAACACAGAGGTATGGGGTTAAATAGTTATCATATGTATTTTTCTTCGATAGTTATAGGGTTTCTTAGATATGGAGACATGAAAATATTTGGGTACTAGTTGACACGTGCACTGCTCTGAACAAGCTCCTTTTCGAGGCAAACCTTAAAGGCAACAGCCGGGACAATGTGTGGGCTCTCTTTCTCTCTCTGTCTCTGGTAGATCCAGAGAATGGGGATTGGGCAGTTGTTCAAACTTCATACCTCAAGCCGAAAACCCATTACATCAGATTCCTTGCATTTGACACTTCTTTCTTCTTTCTAAAAGCTACCTACACCTTAACAGCCTTATCTATTCTTCTTTCATCATACTCCTATACACCCATCACTTCTAATCTCGCCTTTTGTTAATCTTATTGAGTAATTAACACCACCTCCCCCCCACCCCCCCCCCCCCACTTTTTTTTGTCTTTCACTTATTAATTTCTGTAAAAAGGCTTTTGTCACCAACCTCTTCTTTGTTGCTAACTTAAGACTAATAGTCATGTGTTTGCAAAGAGTGCATTAAACCTTGACTGTACATGAGGGAAGGAAGGTGTTATAAATTGAATTTCTATACATCGTGAAGTTGTTAGATTGTTATAGTGTATATGTGATTGGTCACCCTCATTATTTGATATAACTTTTGGAAGTGACATTTATCAATTTTAAACCCATGATATTTAAACACATCATTCTCTCACATAACTAATACATGTGATATTCTATTCCTAATATAACTAATATTTCAACAATCTTTACCTTAACGAGTTTTTCATTGAAGCGATATATATGACTAAGAGAACACTTGACCATCACGACTTCCTTGTTGTAGCTATACCAAGTTTGCTGCCAAGATGCTTAAACTGAGAACCACTCCATCAACAAATTCAATACGTTGTAATATCCATTGTTTTGTGTATATAACATCTTGAAAATACTCATTTTTCAGTTTGCTACTTAATACTTTGATACCACTTGCTAGGAGTTCGCCTGTGGAAATTAATAATATATAAAAGAGATACAATATTTAATATGGTTTGACAAACATAAGAGAGAAATCCACTAGTAATCAATACGAACACACAAAAGTACCTTAAAATTGTTTTTGATTAACTTTTTACAGGTAGTATATGCAATATCTATCTTTGAATTGATTCTCATCCATCTATTTATAGGTAATACAAGAGATATTATATTCCTAATATATTTTTTACTATGATTAAATTAACTTTCTTGAAAAAACAATTGAAAGAAACTTGAGTAGTTAATTAGCTTTAAATTAATCTTCTCTTGGTTGCAAATTTAATAGGATCCCTACATTTTGATCAATTCTTCTCTGGGCTAATCATGACAAGCATAAATAATATATAAATTGAAGTAGAATGAAAACTTGAATAATTGTGTACAATCCAGCATCACATGATTATGGTGATAAATATTTTACTTAAAAAATGTAAAAGAAGACACGCTAAATCAATTTAATTAAATAAAAATGGAATTAAACATGTTGTACTAGTTTTATATTACAAACTTAATAATACTGCTAGTCAGCAATTAAGTGTGCTGTGATACAAGTCCAGCATTCTCAGATAAGATTTCCCTGCATTTCTTCTTAGGGTACCATACACTCACTGTTGCAAGAATGTTTAATAAGTTTTTTGATGAATAAAATCAAATGCATTTGTCTCGGAGAAGCACAAAGATTGATTTAGACACCAAATATATGATGCTACCTTTGGGTTTGGGGGTTAACTTTGAAGCCAAGGAGAAAAAACACCGAAAGGTCATTTGTACAGATAAATCAAAGGGGGAGTTCGTACTCTGTAAGCTTCATCACAATAATCTCAAACAAATCAAATTCTGAATTTATTTCTTTACAAGGCAACCCTTCTTTCTACCCACTAAATACATACATATACAAATCAATTTATACATAAATTAGAAGCTACACAAGGAATTATCATATAACAAATTCAGTCTTCCTCTATTCTCTCTGTTGCTACATTTTAATTTTATACCAAAACTTCAAGAGGAACACCTCTACGTATTCCTGCTTGTTTATCTTAACGGAATTCGTTTATACTCTTCACCTCAATAATTTATACGTAGTCGCTTCATTTCAGCTTCAAAAGCAGGGCTGGAACTCAGGGTTCGATGTGCAAGTGTTCTTATGTCTTCCCGTGAACAATCTCGTGAGATGCGAACTAGCTCCCACAAGGCACCTCCGCTAATCATGTCTTTTGCATTCACTTCTGAAATGGAGTAAATTTAAGCCTCCTTTTCATGGCATTAATTGGGATATCATTTCATAACTAGAAAAGAAAAAACCTCACCATGTTGTGCTAAGTGGCAAAGGGCAAGCTCAATATGGCGCCGGATTGGTGAGGCTTCATTGTTAGCATTCTGTACAATCCATGGAAGTGCACCATCGTCAATCAGAAGAGACCTTCCACTTTTAGTTCCTGTCTCATTTACAAAATAAATCAATTCAGACAGAAAGATTGGATTACATATTGTCACAAAGATTATATATCGTCAAACATATGGTAGCATACAACAAAGCTTTAGGTTACATTCATTACATTAACAAAAAGTATTTACTCTAAGCTATTAACCTTGAGTTGAGGCTCTTGACTCGCATTTTGCAAAGTTTGCTATCCCACGAGCAACCTGTGCAAGAACGTCAGGATGTCCACATCTGACCATCCCAAGCAAAGCTTTGATACCTCCTTCAGCTCTTAACTTTGACTGCAGCTTATCTATAGAATAAAATATCATAGTACTTAGTAACCACAGTTCACCTAGTAAATGTTCATGTTTTAACCTCAAACAACCAACCAAATAATGACCCATGAAATAGAAACAGTCATATCACAGTTTTAATACTGAAAAAGTAGCTCAGATGAACTTTAGGTCAAGCAGTTTACCATTGCCACACAGATTAGCGATGGCTCCAGCAACCATTCGGAGGGTTTGAGGATCCTCAGCATTGGCTGCTGTCATTGACAACAAAGTAATGCCCCCTTGAGCCATTATGAGTTCTTGATTGGTTTCTGATATGAAAACATTCAATTATGGAGTTTCAAGAAATCAAAGTTGAAACAATTCGTGAAAAACTCATGAACAGTACACATATAGACTATGATAAAACAATTTAAATCACCGTTCATTGCAAGATTGGCTATTGCACCAGCTGCAACCCTATGTATGGTCTCATCCTCAGAACTTCTAAGTAGCATCAGCAAGGATGAAAGACCACCTGCTTCTACAATCTTCTCCTGATTTGATTCTGCACATCAACAAAAAAGTTCATACTTCATAAGAACTATGTATTAAGAAAATTGAAGTGATTGCTATTGAAAGGATTATCTTTTCTGCAGGGAGAGTTAGAAGCTATAGCAATTAACGCTGACTACATTCTCACCCTTATTATTATTATTATTACTTCTATAGATTTACCTAAATTAAAGTACCCAAGTTTATACTATATATTCAACAAAATTAGTTGGGGATGCAACATTAAAAAACATCAATTATAACTTAGAAGTTCAGAGCATGCTAAATTGAGGCTCAATTAGATTAAGCTGTTGACACAACAGAAATATATTATAAAATTTTGCAACTTATATGAGTTTTAGAGCTAAATAGAAAGGCACCTTCTGCAGCAAGATTTGCTACCACTTTTACAGCATGAATGCGCACATCAGCATCTTCAGCTTCCAGTAATGACAAGATCCTATGCAATCCCACTGTAGGGATATCAGATTTTAATGGTAAAAGAAGACACAGTAAAAAAATACAAAAAACAAACTTATATTAATGAATCCGCTAGCAAGAAAAAAATACAAAAAACTGTCCTGGCAGTAAACCTTGTTCAAAGAGTTTGGCTATTGAGGCCTTTTCTCCATTTCCTGAATCTTGGAGTTGTGCATGCCTAACTTGATTCATTAGAGAATCGAAGCCACCACGAACTTTGTCAGATCCACCCTTGTCAAGCCTTTTTCTAGTCTAAAAAACGATACATATAGGTCTAAATCAGATTTCAGATTGTGTAAATTGTAGATATGTGTGCCATAGGCATGTTTTAGCTTAACAGAAATACATATAGGTCTAAATCAGATTTCAGATTGCAAAAAGTGTAGATATGTGTGCCATAGGCATGTTTTAGCTTTAAAAAATGATAGAAAATGTGATGTTCTTAGGGCCTGGGGCCTGCCTTTTTTTTTTAATTTATTTAACACAGGAAACAAAGTATATTAACAAAAGAGATCAAAAAGTATAAATGTAAGTGAAATAGCTGTGATGCAGAACCGAGAGCTTATATTCAGATAATAAGTTAAGTCTTAAGATTTATATTCATTATCTAATAAGTTTGATGTTCCTTTAGATAAATTTTATTTGAATAGATCACCATTAGTAGAATTATCTATTTGAATAAATCTTATCTTCAGATTTATGTTAAGCGATCATAAATAGGCCTTGATGTACATCATTTGAAATGGTGAATATGAATACAAAATGCTTGAATATGGCCTTCATCATTTTAAAAGTCAAGTATTATGACAAATTACGATTTTTGGTTCCCAGAAAATTTGAATAGAAACAGGGTTATGTGCATGGTTCAAGCTTGACACTGATAGACCTCCTATAACTAAGATTTACAAGAAGAAGAAGGGAAGGGGCAATAAAAGGGCAATTGAGACTTAGTTAGGGAAATATTCCACGTGGATTCAAAAAAGGGAATTCGGTGTGACTCGACTTGGTATATAAGGGGGGAAAAGCATGATCAGGGGCATCATCACTTTTGGAATATTTATATAAGGGGGGGGAAGCATGATCAGGGGTATCATCACTTTTGGAATATTTGTTGGAAGGCCACTAGGTCCTCGAATTGCTAGTACCTTTATTTTCCTGCTTATTATTGTTCTTTGGATTTCCTAGCATCGTGTTTCTATTGTTTCTCTTTTCATATCAATATATACATATAATTGTTTCCTGTTGCTATTTTGATGTATTGAGGATTATTGGAATTGTTTTGTTGGATTGATTTCGGTTGAGTTCCCATCAAACACATTCAGTTATGGCTATCAAATTGTACCCTTTCCATGCTACATGAAACTCTATATAAGTGCTTTTCAATATTTTGGCAACTGAAACTTTTAGAAACCTCATTTTCCATCAAAATTTGAATTTTACAACAGCAAATCATGTTATCAAACAGTCCATTAGGCTAACTAGCTCAAAATGTCAAAAAACAAAAAACTGAAAATAGATGTGCTTTTACTCTCCCATCACAAGCAAACTTAACCAGGGTCACCAAAGAATAATGCATCATTACCATATGAAAACAATGAAATTATGAGAAATGTCTTAAACTCAGGGATGATGATGTTCCATATTGTAAATTCTGGAAAGTAGCTTGTCAATCATAAATACACCTTTTATCTCAGAGAAATTATCACTTCACTTACAAGAGAAAAGAGTTTTTCTCAGAATCAACTATAGGCCATTTTTTTCTAACAGATTAGATAAAAATATTCCCAAATTTTCAATAGAATTCAGTTACCCTCAAAAGTTGTGCTTTTGTAACTTATTCAATAAGCATCCAATTTCAATAAACTCTTTGTCAAATACCATTTAATTGAACTCCAAACAATTAAGGTGCTTGACCATCTACCTAATGTACTACTTAGTTCATAAGATGGAGAAACAATTGAAGAATAAGGAAAAAGAATGGAAAGATGTCATGAAAAATATGAACAAAGCTACCTCCAATTTACTGAAAGATAAATAGAGCATACCTCATCAGCTTCAAAACTTATGTGCAACAACTGACTTTGTAGTAGTGCTATCTCCCCTTCAAGTTTCTTTTTCTGATGTGCCTCATCTTCCAGCATCTTGCGAAGTTTTAAGATCTCGGTATTTCCTAATGCCTAGTGCAAAGAAATATACCTCTTATGTAACAACACCACTTATATGAAAAGATGAGTTTTGGGACAGAGACAAAGAAGAACAAAGCTGAATAAGAAATAAACGAGGCACAAAAGACACCTCTGATCTTTTCCATTGAGCTACTTGGCTCTTGAGATTATTAACTTCCTCTTCAGTAGCCTTCCTTGATTGAGTTTCTTTCAGAAGCAATTTTTTGACCTCTGCAAGTTCCTCAACAACAGACATCATGGAACCCTATGTAATGGAACAAATAATGGTTGGGACATGTTAGGAGACAGTTCACCAAGTAACCTATTAATAATATCCGAGGAAAAGAGAGAGAAAACATAAAAAGGGGACTGAAATGGGGTCCACTTGACTGAGTAGAGCAGTAGCACAACATAATATCCACAGTTTGAGAGACAGATAAGAAGGTTAGTTCTTCAAATGAACAAGCAGTAGGTCAGGAGGTTGAAACTTAACGTGAGCAGCATCTGAAAACACAGATGCTTAGGTGCTAATATAATGATTTTCGGAAAGGCTAGAAACTTTTCTATGGTTTGGCTTTTACCATTTATGCATAAAATAGTATAATGTGTAGAGGAATCTACCCACACCATTAAACAAGCTGAAGGTGATGCTTATACCAATCTTCACAGCATTGGCTATTCATTTATCAAACTTCTAAAACCACCAATGATGATGCTAAAGTTATAAAATGCTTTCATGTTATGATGTTTCATTTAGATAGACTTTTAGGGATGAGCTAAAGGTTAAGCTATATTACAAAACAACATTCAACAATTTTGAGTCCCAATATTGTCATCTAATATACTCACATCAAGGGTTCTCTATAGATCCACCTTTCATAGCAGTGGAAAATCTACCTAGAAAAATGCATCCATTACCTCTGAAAAAGAATTATTATTTGAGAGTACAAAAAGCAATAAAAGAAACCGATGGCAGAAAGGAGTACAATGAAAATAATTATCCTAAAAGAGGTAAGAGATACAAAAATGAAACAGAATATGGCTTTTTATAGTTTATATTTTTACAATTACACAGAAACCCGGTAATTTATGGCAGTGTTGCATGTTCCACATATGGAAATTATATGGCACAATGAAAAGAACGGTAATAAAATCACACTATTTTCTATTACCTACACTGCATAATAATAATGTATGATGTCATGATGACATATAAAGTCTATTAAGTTTTACCCTTTCATTTGATGTACCATCTTTTGATCCAATGATGATTGTTTCACTGCCCTGCTTTTGCTGATTTATCACCCATTTTTCCTCAAGCTTCTTTATTGATTCCATATAGTCTTTCTGATATTTCAATCTTTCTTTCTGGAAAGTGGAAAAAGGATCTCAACAAGCATTAAATCAGGAATTAATCTAACTCCTCAATGGGATCAGCATTTTAAAGAAGTTTGATGATCAAACTTGAAAAATTATAAAATAAAATTGTTGTCGCAAACAGTAATGTGAATAGTAACCAATAATAGTATTGTAATAGCTTCAGCTAGAGTAACCTGAACTGAGTTCAAAGAGGAAAAGTTAAGAAGAACTAGGAAATCAAAGGACATACAATAAGAGAAACTGAGAACATAAATGGACTAGAAAAATATAAAAAGCTCCAATAGCTACCAGCAACACTTTCCATTACACTAAAACAACTTCATTGTTGCAAGACCATGGTTTTAGCACTAGGCTTCCAAAGAGGATATTTTATTCCCTAACCATGCTGTAGATTCTACATTAATTTACATGGTAAACTATAAGCCTATGACAAAGGCTCTCTCTCTCTCTCTCTCTCTCTCTCTCAACACATAAGCAAAATCCATGTTAGAGATAATACTGATACATGTACTTACCTCCAATGAATCTGCATAATTTCTCTCAGCCTCAGAAATTCGACTTTCAGCTTCCAAAGTGATTCTTTCAATTTCATCCTCAAATGCTTTCTGCTGCCTTTCCTGCTCTGCAATTAGTTTGTCTAGTTGTATGTCTAGTCTTCTAGACAAACTTTTGTAATCAAACTCTTCCTTTAGTTTCAACATATTTTCCACCCTCATAGCCTGTAAGAGATACAAGATTTTGATATTCTCAGAGCAAAAAGAAGACACAAGTTATGAACTATTTATATATATTTGAACAAATCAGATAGAAAACACTCAATACTGCCATAATTGTATAACCAATATCGAAGCACAAACGTTGGCTGTCAATCAGAAATGTTAAATGATGTTACAGGAAAAACTGTAGAAATGAGCATGTGACAACCACAGCAACTATTTCAGAGAGGCATCTTCACATTATAAGTAACCCACCCTCTGTCCAAACATTATAGTACTGGCTGTCTCGCCTCGATGACGTGGAGATGGACCAATAGTAATAACAAGTGAAGTTCTGGCTGTGCCTGTTTAATATTCACAATGTCAGGAAGCACTTGTAACAATGTAAAAATCTAACAGTCCTTTACTCTTTAACACTTCATTATGAAAGCAAGTACCAATAAAGAGTAAAATACAGACACCAATCTAATAGACTACCTACAACAAAAAGCCTGCAAGTATTAATAAAAAAGGTAATCAATGAAAATGTCTTAAGCACAATTATTATAAATCCAGTAAACAGGATATGAACATTAAGCAACAGATCTTAAGAATATTTTTGCTTATAAAAGAGTGTCATAATCAACAATTATCAATACAATTTGATCATCCAACTTCTTATATCACTTGAAACATGACCATAACCACAAGTTCCAGTCCTCTATAAGACATCAAAATTCCATATAGAGATATGGTCAAAGAAAGTCGGACTCAGAACATTCACATCTAGAATTAATAAGTAGGCATTTAGTTTTAAGAAAAACTGTTCTGACCAATAAGTTCAATACTTTACTTTTTTAGTTGAAACTACAAAAGAAAAAAAAGAACACTGTTTTCCATTAAACTCACCTCCAAATGAATCCCGAAGCAATCTAGTAAGCTTTGAATCTCTAACTGGAACATGTGCACTACCTTCAGCCAGGGCATTAATGCACTTCCCTAAAGCACTCAAGGAGAGATTGATAGATTTAGCTTCCTCAAGTGTATGTCCCTCACTCCCTGCAGCATAATGAACAAACATATTTCAACATGCGAAGTTGACACCTAAAAGCTATACCAAAATGATACTGATTAGATGCATAATTAATCATTCTAGAACTCATAGATGCTTCTCTTGAAACAGTACAGACAACCGCACCCAATTACTTGCACATTTTTTTGAATTTAGCATAAACTACTCCGAATAGAGATACTTTCCCCAGTTAATTTATGACCAAAATACAATGTGTGCAAAACAATAAGCAAACAAGAATTTGTTCTACATAATAAGTTAATCCATATAGCTGAGATTATGGCAAAGGCACAAGAGTATTAATTAGATTTTCATAGATGCTTTTTGTGAAACAGTGTAGACAATTGCACCTTGTCACTGAAGTATTCTTTATATTTACCAACGCTACACTAGCAAAAGATGCTATCCTAAGCTAATGTGAAATTTACAAAATTATTTTGTCACCAAATTACAATGTGCAGAAGCTCAAAGAACTAATCTAATTTTATATTTTAATTGAAACATATTTTTCAGTTAAACTATCGATTGATTAGATAAAATCTACAAGCCTACATGTCTTTCCAAGTATGATTTTGCCGAACATATAAATGAAAGTAAAAATAACTAAGACAAACAGGTAGAACAATAAAACAACAAGCTTTCCATAAAGACAAAGAACAGAGCATAATAACTGATGACTCAGTCAAAATAAAAAAAGAGGTAAAGGAATTTATTTTCACAGTAAATGCAGAACCTGATTTATCAATTCGCTCTGAACCGGCAAGATCTACAACAACTAGTTTTCCCTTTCGGACAATAGGAGGCTTAAGTGCTTTAATTATGTGATTATTGTTACCATTTTCACCTGAATGAGTCATATCTCTTCCCTCAATAGATCGCTTTAAATGTACCTATAGCATTAGAGACACATATCATTGCTCCAACAAAGATAACAAAAATTCAGTCAACTGCCTAAGTTCGTAAGAATTCCAGAAGTGCAAGAATCATTAAAGTCAACAATCTCACCATCAAAATAGCATGACTACGAGACGATTCAGTATTTAATTTTGTATTTGCAGCAAAGCGGTGGGCTTCCCCTAATTTTAATAATTCCACAAAACTCTGTCGGTCCCTAATTTCAACTAAGGTAGCCCCAGGTAGTGAAACATCTCCAGTTTTTGGGTCTTCCACAATAGAAATGTTATCATTAGTAGGATCAAGAAGGTCTTGTATAGTCTCCATATAAAGCTGCACATATATTCCAAAACAAGTGTATTAGAAAGACTATAAGATCTGCAATAGTTCAGGAAAAAATAGAGGTTTAACTTGTTCTTCACAAAAAGAAAAATAAAAAAATAACATACATCTATAAAGGGTCCCAGGTAAAAAATACTTGAACTGTTATAAATTACTAAATAATTGCAATTTAAGAAACGAAAATAGATATCTGTAAGAAAAGCCAAGAACCTGCAAGTAGCAGACTGTGACAGAATCAGTCTCCAAAGAAACATCTGCTAATATATGCTCCATAGCGCGCACCATTATTCCACGAGTAGCTGGATCTTCTTCTCCAAGTCGTCCAAGAGTATATGTTTTACCAGTACCAGTTTGTCCATATGCCATGACTGTTCCATTGTAACCTTCCAGAACACTCTACAGAAGAAAATTTCAATAGTACATCTCACTAGGAGGCAGCCCACAAAAAATATGAAGAGAACACAGTATCATTCAAAGTCAGATAGATAAAAATTAAACACTTCCTTTATTGGGATTCTAAGGATTCCCAAACAAAATTGACTATTTGAGCTATTAAAACACATTCAAAGTCGGACTTCTTTTCCCCAAGCTTGTTTCATTACAGTTAATTATAAATGCACCATCCAAAAACATAACCTAAAGTAACAATAACCAACACTATCAAGCTGCTCAAAGATAATTATAAATAACCCTCATACTATGAAGCAAAAACAGATGAAAACAGAAAGTAGATCTTTGACATAGGCAAACCTCCACAACAGGCTTCGCAACAACTTCATAAACACGTTTTTGTGATGCAAACTCAGTAAGCACTTCATCAAACTCATAGGTCTCAGCATCCCAATTGTTTTTCCGTAGTTTCAACCTTTTAAGCTGAAACGGAGCGGATAAAGTACATATTAGTGCCATGAGACTTCTAATAAATAGTTAATCACGGATACCCACATGAAATTCTAAGTAAATTTGATACCTCAGGCTGTAATTCAACACAATCAGCAAAATCAGCATCTGCCACCATTTCCTCGGCATTACGGCATCTCAATCTTACAGCCACCCGAACCCTCCCAGGAACTACAAACAACAATAGCATCATTTCAATACATATACACAACATTGGAGACTCCTTGTGATCTATGACAAGAAAAAAGAGCTGTCCCCCTAACCTTGTATTAGTTACTCTAAAAATGAATGTGGGGCTATTAATATGGTAAAGACAAACATCTTTGGTTATAGAAAATTCCCCAAATTTTTCAACATTTTTGTTTTACCGACATTAAAGAATAAAGTTAGATTCCATTGTCAAAGTCGAGTCAATCCTTTACTCTAAATTATGTTCTCTTATTGGTCTATGCACCATAGTGATGAAGATGTTGAAAATGTAACTAACAACCTTAACATAAATAAATAGAAGTTAGAATGTCTAATTAGAACAAAATAAACAACTCTACGACCACATGTGATAGCACAAAATCATCCATGGAATTGCAGTTGTCTTCTTCAGGGAAAAAAATTAGAATCTAGCATCTTGAATCCCACACAATCATAATTCCAAAATTCCAATGACATACTATAAAACACCGCTTGGATTATAACTCTCTCTAGCATTTATCTCACAATCTAATCTTCAAGCAGCAACAAACATGTGGAAATAGAGATGTTTGAACCCTAGGTCTATCATTTCATCCTCGAGTAAACTAACGCTGAAAATTTTATTTGAAATCATTAATATGCTTATGTTGCACCTAAATCCAAAGTTGTAAACAATTCAATTTGCACGGGACAACCAAAAACGACCTCGGCAGTCGGTAAGGCCGAGTGAAGCTGAGCGTTTTATCTATCTTAAAAAAATAAATAAGATATTGAATCATTCAATTAACATAATGGAAGTAGCACAACAGAAGCATTTCTTCAGCTTTAAAAAAGAAAAAAATAATAAAAACTCCAGAAAATCGAAAAATAACAAAATGTAATAGATGTGTACAGATCTTTAATTGAAAGAAACTATAGAACAATCTAACCTCCAGCATCGTCCTTGAAGGCGGCGGAGGCGGCGGCAAGAGAAGCTGGAGTGCTCTTTCGGAGTCCGGAAACAGGTAAGGACTTGGACTTGGAAGCTGGTTTGGTGTTTGAATTGACAGAAAGTGGTCTGTCTATCTTGTTGAGAGAGCTCCTGTGAGTAGTACCGTTTCTGTGATTATTAGCCATTGTTTAAAGTTTAAACTGAAGGAACTTCCTCAGAGGTACATTGTGAGAAAATTATAATAAATCAGTGTTTGGAGCACAAGAAAATTTCAAGTTACAGAGACACAGCGCGTGTTGTGCGTTTTTAGTTCTAACTTCTGCGTCATGACTTTGAAAGTGGGCTAAAATCGTGAGAGTGGGTCCCGGAATTAACGCCCTTTTTAACTTTCATTTACATAAATACCCTTACTCATTGTACAAAATTATAAATTGTCCTGTAGCCGTGTCATATAAGAAGAACAATTTAATCACTATTTTTAGTGAAATAATAAAATGTATTGTACTGTTAATAAGTTCAGTAAAAGTTTGGAAATATTATGAGAAAGGCTATATTTCTGTTTTGACTATATTTCCATTTTCATTTAATTCAAAATCTTTTAATTTAAAAGAATTTTCAATTAAAAGATTTTGTGGATGATGTGTTTGAAATTAGAACAGATTTAGGCGCTATCATACAAACAAAAAAGAGTTACTTTTTAGTCATCATAATGCAATAAAAATTAACAACCAAATTGAAATTGCAAATTTGAAAGCAAAAGCAGAAGAGCACCAGAGGGAGGAGAAAGGTTGCATTAAAAATAGCAAAAGTAGAAATAATATAAAGAATAATATAAATTCAAATTCAAGTGAAAGCTGCACGCCTTCTCCGTGCCTTAAAAAAAGCCCGTAATCTTTTTTTTTTTTTTTGGGTTGTCCAGACGAGAGGACAATAATTCAACTAAAGAGTTTATATATATATATAGCAGCAGGCTTTTTGACTAAGCAAACAACACTTTTATAAAAATGCAAATACTGAAATTGTATCTACAGTCAAAATCAATGATCAATTAATGATTAAAAAGTTGTATATTCTTTGAAATAAAATATATATTTCACATGGTGGGTGGGTGATGGTACCTTCATAGAATGAAGATGGCAATGCAAAATCAAATAGAATCGCTAACCATGATTTAACATTTTAACTGTCTCTACCTTTCTAACAGTTCATATGTCTCTGCAAAGTTGAATTTAAGGTGTTTTATAGTTAAAAGAGAATGTAATCTTTTTTATCCTGGTGAATGAGAATTGACATAAATTAATTAACACCGCAGACCTTATGGGGATTTTGTCCTTATGATGAAGACAATTCAATTAAAAATGGTCCTCAATGTGCCTTAAAAGAGGTTTAGTACCTGTCTCCTACAGTCTACACTAACTAATGGAAGCAAAGCAAAGCTATAATGCGCCATATTACAGTATTTGCCACACCATCTATTTCAGTTCACCAAACGAAGTTGGCATTCCAAAACAATGATACACCCAAAATGAATGATTCTTTTATTGCAAATGAAAGATAAATAAATAATTTTTCCATCTTCTTATATAGAGGTGCTTGATCATTGGCCTGTCTCCCCACTCCCCATATTCTTAAGGAAGTTGGCTGCGATTATTACATCTCTTACACCATGGGCCTTAACTCTTTCACTTGACCTGAGCCGTTTGTTCTAGGCTTATTTACTACCAAATCTGGGCCTCGACTCCCAACAATAATTTAAGATTATTTTAAAAGAACAAAAAAGGCATCAGATCATTACCAACATAAAATTTCAAATGTGTAAACTGGAATCAAATAGTAATCTACTTAAACTGTATATCCACCAACTAAGACATGTAGACAAATAGATGGTAGTTTAGATGGCTGACTCAATTACTAATTCATTAAGACAAATTATACCTTCTTTCTTCTCATCTCCACCCAACCATTGTCTGAAACATTGTTGATACTTGATTTTGATATCAACGATCTCGCACGTGTAAAGTGCTAAGAGAATCTTAGAAGTTACAAGTGATATGATTGTAAGAGTTGTGTATGGTGCAGAGATGATAAATGTTTGAAGAAACATAAATAAAATATTGACAAGAGAGATTTTTATAGTGGTTAGATACTTTTTAAGTGTTTGTTGAACTCTAATTAGTGGTGCTGATGTCAGTGCATATTTTTTGCATAATAAACATTAAAAACTAAACCTAGGTTGACGTTTAGTAACTTGTCTAATAATTGTATAGTGTTGACCATTGAATAACTTTGAATAAAATATTATAAAATATTTTTAATATTTGATTATAAGTATTAAGTGTTTGTGTTGCAATTTTTATATATCTGAAAACTAGTATTTTTATTAATATTCTATTTATTAAGTATAATATATATTTATTTTTTGTATTACAAATCATGAATAACGAAAATATTTTAATTTTGCAAATAATTTGATTTATCAATTTTTCCATTATGTCTATTACAATGAAAGTAAACTAAGAAGGTGAATAAAATAGCTTAATAGAGATTAAAGTTTAAAGATGTATAATTGGAATTTAAAAATTGAGGGAACAACTTACACTGAACCGAGTTTGCTGTAAAGACAAATTAGTACCCAAAAAGTTTTGAAACGACAAATACCCACCTTATGTAAGAGTCTATTAGTAAAGACCGTTTGAAAAAGGACAAGATGGTAATTTTCTATACAACCAAAAAATCTAACACTACGTCCACACCTCCACCAAATCATCTATCGTCCACACCTCCATCAAAACCTCAACCATGGCTAGAACCACGGTGGCCTGGAAAAAATAATTTATGTACAACATAGTCACCTCCCAACTTAAAAATTCTCAAATCATTCCTCTCAATTCAGATTCTCAATTGCTCAACTCAAATTAAAATACAAATTCAATTTTTTTTTTTAATACTCCAATAATTTTATAGAAAAAAATTAAAAAAAAATACAGCCTAAAGGAGGGGACTCCCCTCCAAGCAACACACCTTGGGACAGGCCAAGGCAGCAACAACACAAGAAGCAAAAATAAACAAAAAGGAAATATCCTTTACTATCAAAGCCGAATCAAGAAAGAAACTCCACAGTCCAGTTAGAGGTGAAAATCGAGTCGAGCCACTCGCGAGTTACTCAAACTCAACTCGATGTTGGCTTGAACTCGACTCAGCATTAGTCGAGTCGAGTTCGAGTAGTGCGAGTAGTTAATCGAGTCGAGTTTGATCACAAAAGAACTCGACTCGATATGTTCGCGAGTATTTCCAAGCTTGATGGTTAAGTTGATAGTTTTTAAAGTAATATGGGTTATATGTAATTTAAAAGTTATAAAATTTGCAAATCCACCCCTGTTAGATGAGCTCGAAATCAAGTTCAAACTCGAACTCGATTAAAACTAAGGAAAAAAAAATCGATTATACGAACTCAAATTTGAACTCGAATTCTAATTTCAAGTACTGAATTCGAGTTCGAACTTAATTTCTTAGGCTCGATCAGGCTCGAACTCAATGTTGTAGCGATCGAGTCAAGTTCGATTTACTAGATACTCAACTTGACTCAATTACACTCCTAACTCTAGCTATCCCCCTTTATGCCACCTGCAATCATCATAATACGTAGCGGTTCTGCTCCAAAAACGTAAAACGAACTACAAGCAAAAGAATCAGCCATTTGCTTCACCATTCTGCCTAACCAAACAAAGTAAAAGCAAAACATAGGCATTCGCATGAAGAGCTTCCACAACAGGCAAGCACATAATTTGGTTTATTTAAGGATTTACTTCATGTTTAAACAATAGAAGGGAGAAGGAGAGAGGAAATGGTGGGGAGGAGGAGCTCGAGGCAGGGATGGAGGAGGAAATGGTGGTAGGTTTGATGGAGGTGCAACTGGTGCGATTCCGGCGAATCGCACGCCGCTGGATGCAATTTGGCCGCAATCGCACCCGACCCAGGCAAAATCACCCCCAATTTGATACAATTCCGGCCAAAATCGCACCGATCGGGTGCGATTTGGCCAGATGGGAAGATGAAGACGAGAAAAGTGGGAGATGAAGAAGATGAAGATTGGAGGAGGAGGAGGAGGGAGACAGAAAAGAGAAAGGGAGAAGAAAGGAAAGAAAAATAAGAGAAAGAGAAGAGGCAGAGAAGATGAAGTGATGAGATAAAAAATGCTATGTACACCAAAAGTTGGTACCAAAAATTTGCATCGAAATACGTGGCACCTGACTCAGACATCACCACGTAGGACGATAGAAGACTTCTGTAAATGGACGCCGTCCAACATTTTCGGATGACCGTCCATACTTCCTGGATAGCCATTCATTCAAGAATGGACGACGGTCCATAGAAAATATTTAAAAATAAATAAAAAAATCAATGGACTCTTGTCCAAATACTAGGGACAAGCATCCCTTTAATTTGGATAGTGCCGTCCAAATAATCACACTAGATGGACGCCTGTCCATCTAGTGTGGATGGCAGTCCCTTCCCTTTTAAAGGGATTGCTGTCCTGATTTAATGGAAAACGGCAGTCCGTGTGAGCATAAAGAAGGTTCCTGAAACTACTCCTAGTAAAATGGAGGTTATGTGTGATACAAGCCCAAACTATAACTGCTCCCTTATTAACAGAAGCTTCTATTGATGTGAGCATAAAGAAGGTTCATGAAACTGCTCCCAGTAAAGTGGAGGTTATGTGTGATACAAGCCCAAAGATGGAATTTGTGGCTACTCCGATTAAAGTAGGGAGCTTCTTAAATAATAATAATAATAATGATGATGATACAAGTCATGATTGTTTCAAGGGAGCTTCTTCAATGCAGGAAATTCCAGAAGGTAGAGATTTATATGTAGAATTCGTGGTTAAAGTTGGTTTGGAGTCTGGTTTCATAGAGGCATAATCTAATTCTAGTTTGGATTGTTTGCATAATGAGAAAAAGAAGAAGAGGCTGAAGAAGAAAAAGAGGCTTAATGCTCCAAAAACTGATTATATAGATGTTAATCTTCAGGAAGTTACTTCTGAAACAATTACTGCTCCCTTAAGAACAGAAGCTTCTGTAGATGTGAGCATAAAGAAGGTTCCTGAAACTGCAACCGGTAAAGTAGATGGTATGTTTGATACAAGCACAAAGATGGAGTTAGTGGCTACTCTTGTTATAATAGGCCCAATGAATTTGAGTCGTCTGTTGAGAAAAAGGATGAGAAAAAAGAAAAAGAAGGAGAATCTGAATGATTATGTGACAACAGATATGTTTCCAGAAAGGGACTCATCTTTACAACTGCCAGTCAACATATGCAATGGAGAAACAACCTAATGAGGATATCAGTTTGTGTCTAGAAGAGAATGAGAGTAATAAGCAGAATGATGGTCACAAGGCCTTTGAAAATTATAGTCCAGCTAATCTACAAATGGCTAATGTTGAGCATTTTGGAAAAGAAGATGTGAAAATTGCTCTAGAAAAGTTGGATTTGGTTTCGATGAAAGGAGATTTACGCCTCTCTAGAAATCAAAGTGATTCTTTGAAGAGTACAAATTTGATGGAGAAACAAGATCTTCCTTCCGAGAATGATATTGTTTCTCGTGAATGAAGCGATGCTAAGACTTATCATAGGAAGAGAAAGAGAAAATCCTCTAAGTCTTCGATTAATAGTTCAGACTGCATAAAGGATGGTAGAAGAGATACTTTATTCGACCATTCAGAAGAAGCCCATACAGTTGACCTAATAGAGAATAAGTTAGATAAGGTAATAAAAGTGGAGAATGCTACCCCAGCACACGTCTTGGGAGATATTGAGATGAGGGAAGCCTCTGTTAACAGTTTAGAGGGTCAACCTGCATGCCAGGATAGTGAGAAAAAAATGAAAAGGAAGAATTTGCAAAAGGTTGTTACTGAAGATAGTTTAATGAAGAATGTGTCTGTGCTACTTGAAGAGCATCTTGAAGAGAAAAACATAGAGAAAGCAGGTGAGATCCAGATTACAGTGCAGAATGCATCTTGTAAGGATGGTGGTTCTGTTGAAAGTTCATCTGGTTCCAAAGAAAAAACTTCTGATAATATATCTGACCATGATACTTTCTGCAAGCATCTAAAGCCGAAGAATGTGAAGTTAGAGACCAAGACCAAAGAAATAGCTCCTTCATCACATATGGTTGTAATAAAAGATGATTGTTCAGTAAATGAAACTAATAAAGAAGACAATAGTCAACATTCATCTCAGTCTATTCCCATAAGAATGAGGGAGGAGTTGAAGAATAAACAAGTGGAAGTGGAAGAATAGGGATGCCTGTCCATCTAATGTGGACGGCAGTCCCTTCCCTTTTAAAGGGATTGTCGTCCACATTAGATGGACAGGCGTCCATCTAATGTGCTTATTTGGACAGTTGTCCATATAATTTGGACGGCTGTTCATATTAAAGGAACACCTGTCCCTAGTATTTGGATGGTCGTCCATTAATTTTTAGTTTATTTTTATAAATGTTTTATGGACCATCGTCCATTCCTGAATGAATGGCTGTCCAAAAAGTATGGGCGGTAGTCCGAAAATGTTGGATGACCGTCCGTTTACGGAAGTCTTGTATCGTGTCTTACGTGGCAACGTCTGAGTCAGGTGTTACGCATTTCGATGCAAATTTTCGATACCAATTTTCGGTGTCTATAGCATTACTGATGATGAGATGTGATGGAAAGAAAGAGAAAATAGAGTAAAAGATAATAAAGAAATAGAAGAAAAAAAAATCTGGATTTTTATAAAATATAAAAAGTCAAAATTATCGCTTAGAGATGAAAGAACATTAATAATGTCACATCAGTTAATGGTTTTTACTAACAAACTATGGAGGGTGGGTATTTATCGTTTCAAAACTTTTTTAGTACCATTTTGTCTTTATAGAGGTGTAAGTCGTTTCCTCTTTAAATATTAGAGCACGGATATTTCATTATTTTGTGAGAAGTCATTTAAGGCAACAATTAAGTCTTTTGTATAAAGTTAAAAGCCAATTTTTTTTTAGTTTTTCCATTAAAATGAATGACTTATTCTCAGTTTTAATTGGTGAAACCAAACAACTAGTAAATATGTGAATGTTAAAAGATTCACTTTTTTTAAGTCTTCACAGATGAAAACAAACCAGCCCCAAGTAAAAACCATACCAAAACAAACCAAACCAAAATTAGATCTAAAATTCAAATCCTCTCCAATTTATCAGCTTTAACCACAGGATTTGCTTTTAGAAATTGTTTTAGGACGAAAACCTTGAAATCAAAGGGTATTTTAAGAAATTATGATTTTTCTAATTTTAGAGGGTAGAATTGTACTTTTGCTACATAGATTAGTAGGAAATAGTATGTTTAGACTAAAATAACTTTTGGAAGAATTTTTGAAAAACTTTCACACTAATTAAGTACCTTCCAAGTGAGCCTAATTCAAAGCAATATATTAGTTTAATAGGCCTTAGTAGATAATCTCACACTTCCACACTATAATCCACAAGCATTGCCTATTGAAGTGGTTTGGATCTATCGACTTTTGGTTAGAGTGGATTTTTGTCGAAGCCTTGGATTAGGGTGGACTTGTGCCAAAACCTTAAGAAATGATGGAGCTGTGAAAATGAATGCTAGAGCATGTCTGAGCCTTAAGTTACTATGACATCGGAGTCTTTGTTTATGGTGGGCTTATGGTTTGTCATTTGCCTTGAGAAATGGTGTACTTATGTGCTAGAGCCTTAAGAAATTGCGAACTTAATAAAGAATTGTTGCCATGACAGCTTGTTACATAGACTTTTCAAGTTCATTTCATTTCAGTACCATCTCCAATGTCTGGTTCTGGAATTTTGATGAATGCCACATCCCTATTTTCAATTTTGATTTTAATTTATATTTCAGCTTCAAGACATATTGGTTGGTTGAGTTCTGTTCTAAAGCTCCAAGATTTCTCTTCAGAAACCTGGTTGCTTTTTTCCATGAATATCATCTTAGATATGCAGATCTGGAAAGCATCCCAAAACTATTTGATCTTTGAATTTTACATTCGACAGCTTCTGGTTCATATTACATGAACAACCAAAGTTCTAATCGGAAACATCACATTCAAATGGCATACGTTTTGATACTAAGCTAATTACTTATATCAAGATTATAAAGACAAGCCATAATTCCAGTTCATATATCCTTACTTAGACCATAATGTTCAAATTCTAAACATTAACAATGAAGACTTCAGCTCCCCTCAAGCTACATAAAATCACAATCCCCAAGTTAAAGACGTCTATTTTACCAAAATGGCAAGGAAATATCTACTTGAAATCAGAGATTTCCAGGAGCAGTCACCAGTAAGAAATATGACACAAGTGCATTGTTCTCGACAAGGATTCTGCAGTCAGAAAATTACTCTGATTTAAGATCTTGATAAAAGCCTCCATTCTTCTTACCAACTCCTCTTAATTCCTCTTTCATCTGTAACAGATCAAGAAGAAATAATTAGCAAGACCAAAAAGAACCAGGACATTCAAGAAATCTCTGATAAACAACAGTGTGTTATAACTAAAGATTAACTGGAAAGCAATATGGCATGTGTGGTCAACAGGGACAATAGCATCCATGAAACAAAACACCCAACAAGTTCTAATTCTACCTAGATTAGTATAAAAATATCCAATTATAATATCTATCCAATTCATAAGAGGTGAAACAAGTGTCCAATATCTCTAAAGATATAACTTTTTCATAATGGAAAATCAACTGCTTTTACTACTTTTTATCACATTTTCATTGGACCTATATCAACAATGAGTAACACTTACCTATATGTTGAAGAAAAAAAGTAAACTCCACCAAGATACCATAGAAGGATAATAAATTATTAAATGAAAAGAAAAAGTGCAGCAGGTTACCTTGCTAAGGACCTTCTTTTGATAGCGATAACCCTTCAAAAATAAATAAACAAATAAATCTCAGAACCATTCTATCAGTTGAAATTATTAGCCAAAAGAGCACATAGTATAATCACACATAATAGGTAATCACCTTATCAGTTCCATAAATGAAATCACAATAGGTGAAAACAGAAGCAAAGTTGCTCTGGCTTTGTCCTCCCACGTAATGATGATAGTCATGGTAATCTGCACCACCATAAAATGGAATGTACTTTGTAGGAGTCCAGGGGAAGTCATACCTGAATAAGAACAAACATATTATGACATGCTTCCACGCTACAGTAATCTCATAAGACAAAAATAATAGAACAGAGCAACATGTGAAACAAGAAGCTTCAACACATAAATGATATGAAGAGCATTCTGCAGATAAGCATTGTTGGAGAATGGGATAAAGCCATCATAACAGCGAACAACTAAATAGAAGAAGGTCATTAATATCATATGAATCATATGTGTAGAAATTTATTCAGCACCATGATTGCTGAAAAATGCAACACAGCTCTTTAGGCATTTTAGTTCAAAATCTATATAAAAGAAAAACTCGAGTCTCCTTTCCGTTTCCAAGAAGCCCCAGTAGCTGCCTCAATCAGTTTGTGAAATTTAGTTATCTTTTCATCAAATTAACCAGTCTACATTTATAGTCCAATGGTGATCAGAAAGCTAAGCACATGCAGCGGCTTGGCAATGGAATTGTAAACAATGCAGGAAAGATGAACAAAAATTGAAGTGCATTAGATTAAACACAACAGCTAAAGAAATAAAATAGTAGCACACTTCAGTTCACAAAGTAGCCAAACTTTAAGTTTCTTGATATCCCTCAATTGACATGCTATAGTCGTAGTTTTAAAAAAAAAAAAAAAAAAAAAAAAAAAGAAATCCCTTTTGCCAATTTAAGAAACTCCAGCGGTTCATGCTAAAATAACACAAAAACATGAGTCAGCACTTGATACAAACTATGGCTTGATGTGAAATCATCCCTTGTCCCAAATTTTAGAGATTGATCAAGTTGTGCAGTAATAAAACCAACTAACTCACCAAAAAACAAACATAAGAGAAACAATAAAAAAAAAAAAAAAAACAGTAAAATTGAAAAGGAAAAGGCACCAAACCAATCCTCGTCCTCATCAACAAAAGACAAGCCACGATTAAAACATCTTTAAGACACTTTACGTAGAATTCCACCAAAAAGAAAAAGGCCTGAAGTAAATTCTAAAGTTGACATCATTTAATCATCATCAACTAAAGCTAAAAAAAAAAATACATGCATACATACCCACTATGAGTCTCAATGGCCTCAATCTGCCGCAAAGCAATCCACAACCAGAAAGTAATCATGTGGCCAGGAACAACTGCCGGACCAAGAAAAGATGGAATCCCAAGGATCAAAACCTCAGCCCAATGCGCATATGGCGCGGCATATGAAATTGGAGCAGAATATTCATGGTGAACACGGTGGATTTTCTCATACCCCCATTTCCCATGGAGAAATCTGTGGATCCAGTAATTTGTATAATCCTCCACCATAAAGTACACTGCCAATTGCACAAAAATCTCCCATCCCGACGGCAATGGCAGCCCAGTTCTAATCCCAATCAGCTGCATAAACCCACATAACTTATCAAGACAACAAAATCAGATTATACAATTCATAAATTCACAATGACTAACCAAGTCTCATATGATTTATCAAAAATTCACTCAAAAAAAAAAAAAAGAAAGCAGAACCCAGAAGGAAAATCACCTTGATGGAGGGATAAGACACAAGTTGAAGCGGGCCAACAACAAGAAAGAACATGCGCATAACATCCTTGTAACACCCAAACATCTCCGGAAAAGAGAGCCTAACTTTAGGCTGAATCTTGTACTTATCAAAACTACTAGATCCCAGGAGCTCAATGACCAACATGGGAAGAGGCACAACTGAAAAGATCACGAATAAAAACAGAATGTTGTGGCAGTAGAGAAAGTAATCCGATTTTTGAGCCGAGTAATTGAACCATAATGTCTCCGCAAACGTCAAGTTCCGACCCAGCGCAGTGGCGGCTTCTTCGAGAGTGGCGTAGGGCAGCATTTTTGGCGTTTAACTTGTGGTGAAGATCAGACGGTGATGGTGGCGCGTGATGGAGACGGGAGGGGGACCAAAACAACTCGTTTAACTTGGTTAAGTGGTGCGCTGGCAAGAGAGATATGTGTTAGTTAAAATATGCGGGAAGGGAACTTTGAAACCATAGAAAACCAGACAGATTGAATACTATTTTGGTGATGCCTATCTCGTCTTCTTCGTATCATATATGATACCAGTGCTGAAACAATATATATTACATAGCATTTATTTATTTATCTATTATTATTATTATTATTATTATTATCACGAAGTGTGTATTACTTATATTAATGGAAAGGTAGATTATCTTGAAGATTAGTAGGAATGTTTAAGAAAATATGTTTAATTAGATTTAAGGATAAATTTGTGGGTATGTTATAAACATTACTAAATTGCCCTCATTTTTAAATATTAATATAATATTATTTTTTAAAATATTTTTTAACCCCTTATATTTGAAACTTTGCTAAAACAATCCAACTATAGAAAACTTTAATTTGTAACAAAATCACCCCTACTCACCCCAAGCCACTGGCGGCAGCCAGCCACCACCGCCGGCCACACCAACCGGCTGGATCTGGCTGACCGTGCGCCACCCGCTGGTAAAGCCTTTTTCAGGTAGATCTAGTCGTTTCACGACCAAAGATGTGGCCGTGAAAAGGCTAAATCTATAGTCGTTTCCAGCCATAGATCAGATATCCATGGTCAGAAACAGCTTTAACGATGCACAGTCAGCCAGATCTAGCCGGTCGTGTGCCATTCTGTAGCCGACCGGCAGTTGGCGTTGGTGGCCGGATCCTACCACCACTCTTGGATAATTTTTTAAAGTCTAGGGGTATTTATATCCTAGAAAATGTGTACATGAGGATAAAATAGTCTATGAATATATTTGTAAATTAATTTCAAAATAAGGGTATTTTTGTCAAAAAAATTATTAATAATGGGACGTTTGGATCATATAATGTTTTATTATAGGAGTATATTATATTAACGAAAAGAAATATCACCTCGAAGATTACTACAAATGTTAAGAAAATGTGTTTGGTTGGGAGGATAAATGGGTGGGTATGTTATATAGATTACTAAATTGCCCTCCTTTTTAAATTTTAATATAATAGTAATTTTTTATTATTATTTTTTGAATTATTTCCTTTAACCCCCTACATTTGAATTTTCGCTAAAACACCCCAGCCATATAAAACTTTAATTTATAGCAAAATCACCCCCACCCACCCTAAAGCCATTGCCGACAGCCAATCACCACCGCCAGTCGTCACCGACAGTCGACGAAATGGTGCATAACTGGCTATATATGGCCGGTCGTGTGCCAACAAAGCCAAAAATGGCCATAGATCACAAATCCATGGCCGGAAAATGGCCAGATCTGTGGCCGTTTGACGGCCACATCTTTGGATGTGAAACAGCCATAGAGACGTCAGATCTAGTCGTTTCTAACCATGGATCTGTAATCTAAGGCCCAAAAAGGCCTTACCCGCGCACGACCAGCCAGATCCCGTCGGTCGTGCACCATCACTGCAACTGATGCTGGCGCCCGACGGTGGTGAGTCATGACCAACTGTGGTTTTAGGTGGCTGGGGGTATTTTGCTAACTTTTAAACTTTTTATGGTTGGGGTGTTTTAGCTAATTTCTCAAACGTAGGGAGGCTGTGTAATTGTTATTTGGTAGACATTTGAGGGCAATTGAGTTCGAAATGGTTTTTAATTAAAGGCAAAATGGGAAGAAAAATCATGTTACCCTGGTAATATTTTAGGGTCCGTTTGGTTCATTATTCTGATACGTTTTAGAATAATATTTTGAAAAAAGTTAAATTGGGCGGGTATTGCGATGTAGGATTTAGAAATTAACAAAAATACCCCCTATATTTGTTTATTTACTAAACACCCCTATAATAAAATATTAAAAGGTAACAAAAACACTCCCAACTCACCCATTAAATACGGACAACCGGCTACCACCGCCGGAGGGTTGCTGAGGTGTTTTTGCAATTTCTAAAAAAAAATATTTAGGGGTGTTTAGTTAAATTAACAAATTTATAAGGGTTTAAAAGAAATTGAATAATATAGAATAATATTTTAAGAATAAGTCAATTTTACTGTTTAACTTTATTGGGAATACTAATAATAACATTCCCAAGAGTGTAACAAACGGAGCCTTAATAACACCCTCTAACAAGGTAATAAAATTACCCTCCACATTACCAATAGTAAACACTATTTGCAATAAAAAAATTACCATAATATTTTATTATTTGCAAACCAAGCACATAAATATTGCAAGATAAACGAATATTACCCCCGATCCAAATGGCCCCTAAAGGGTAAAATTATAACAAAAATAAAATTACTAAGTAATTTTAAAATACCTAAAAAAATAGAGGTAATCAAATTATTTCAAATATTACCAACAATAATTACTATTGATTTTGGAAGATTACCGGAATCTTATATTACTTCAGTAATCCTCCATTACCCCCAAGCAAACACACCCTAAGGGGGCGTTTGGTTGGGGGTAATATGGGATTACTAGAGTTATGTCATTTTATATTACTTGATTACCACGTTTGGTTGTCAAATAATATAAGATTCCAGTAATCTTCAAATACCAATAATAGTTACTATTGGTAATATTAGAGGTAATCTGATTACCTCCATTTTCTTAGGTATTCTAAGATTACCAGGGTAATCTTTTTTCCCTTATTAGTAAATTTTTAGGGACAATAATGCATTTTTTTTAAAATTTATTTACATGAATATGACTTTTACTATTTCACCCTAATTAATTAACTTTTTGGACAAAATTACCGTTGAATTCAAAACAAATTGCAACCCACCCAAGCCACCCACCTGCCGCCGGCAACGACCACCGCGGCCAGCCATCGCCTCAACCGGAACGGCCCACGAAAGGCCGAAAATGGCCGTCGTGCATTGATATGGCCATTTTTGGCCAAATATCTTACCGGAAATGGCCAGATCGTGTCAGATCTAGCCGTTCATGGCCAAATCTAATTTGGTTGTTAAAGGTCAAATCCGTCGATTTGGTCATCAATGACCATCGACAGCCAGATCTGTCACGTCTGGACATTTTTGGCCAGATCTCTGGCGAAAAATGGCCATACGATGCATGGAGGCCATTTACTATCTTTCGTGCGCCGTTAGGTTGCTGGCGGCCTGTGATGGTTGCCGACAGTGGTTGGGTTGGTGAGGGTGCTTTGTTAATTTTCCAAACTTTTATTATGAGATTGTTTTTGCTAAGTTTTTTAATGCAGGGGGTTTATAATAATCCAAATAATAATCAATATTAAAAAAATAATATAATAATAATATTTAATTAGAGGACAATTAAGTAATTTAAATAATATACCCACTAATTTATTCCTCCTAACCAAACATATTAATATAACATACTCACACATTAACCAAACACATTTTCCTAAGGATTCCTAATAATCTAAGGTAATATAACTTTCTAGTAATCCAACATTCCCTGAACCACACGCCCCTTAAAGGTTAACTTTAAATGCCTAAGTTTCAAATTTCTTAACGGTAAATTTATATACATTAGTTTTAAAAAAAATATATAGTTTAAATGATTCTGTTATAACTTTATCATATAATTAAATACTTTTTAAAAATCTTACTTGTTTTATATTTTATTGTAGTTATGAAGAATATAGATGAAAATAATTATAATTAATATTTTATCATTTTTTCTAACTATACTCAAAAGTCTACCTCCCTCCCATTTCGCTTATAGTTCTAAACATTTTGCGTTTTCGTCAAATGTTAGCACTTTAATTTTAGTGGAAGGGTAATTGCAACCTAAATATCATGGTAAATAAATACAAAGTTGTCTAAGGCTAAATCAATGAAAATTTATTTTGACTTTGGACAAAAACATGTGCGCATTATGATGCATTAAAACTTAAATTTGACAATATGACAATTAAGAAAGATATGTCTGAATCATGAGTGAATTATGTAACTTGTGGACACAAACTGTTCTCTTTTATTATAGTAGAAATTAATATCATAATTAATTCGTCAATATTTTAGCTAGTTATGATAGTATATCTATGGACAGTGAGAACGTACATTCATAGGTATTAAACTTATAAATCTATGTGGAAAAACTAATAATACAATCTTAAGGATTAATTTACAAATACTTGGATAATCAAATCTAAGCTAAGTATTTACTCAATAAGTTTACTAAATAAAAACTATATCTGCCATAAATTTGTGGGATAACTGATTAAACCCTCATATATTTGGCGATTCATAGATACCACCTGCCACTTTCCAAAATGCATGGGTAGCCCCATTCAATTAATTTTGGTGATAAACAAGATATTCTTGGTATTTTCAAACTTTTAAAAGGGTACTTTTGCCTTTTTATAAGAACCGTAAAGCGTTCCCCTTTTGTTTCTTTCTTCTCTTTTGTTTTTTCCTCATTTTCCTTTTGCATCTCTCTCTCTCTCTCTCTCTCTCCTGGGCAATGCCGCCAAAAACTTAACTAAGCTTTTGGCAAGTGCAAGTAATATAGCATGTAAATACGAATATTAAACCCCATAAAATTACTAATTACTAATTACCAATTACCAAAATTAATTATTCTTATTATTATTTGATTAATTGAAATTTGATTGAATAATAACAATTTTTAAACAGAATAAAGAAATAAAGAAAATAAATCACAAATCACAAAGGAAGCTAGTTGTAAAACAACATGACAAAAACTTAGACATAGACTTCACACCAATTTACTCTCATATCTTGACAAATCATGCTATCATTGTTAAGCCTTTACTAAAGGCAAAATTCTCTGAAATTATAATATTTTCTCTCAAACAATTATCAGATTAACCCTCTATTACCAATCTAAGATATCTTTAAATTGAATTTAGGTCTTAAGGGTTCATTAAACCTTTTGAAATTTAAAACAAGTCCCACAAATCATGTCTAGTATCTCAACTATTCATTCAACTTACGTTGTTTATTATTTAGACTAACTAGATTTTATTTTTCGATCTCAACCTAGTTCATTAGATCAATCAACTCTCGGCACCAAAGGAATTGAAGGCAAAAGAACAATAATAAAATAGTAATGTTACGCCAACAACCTTTTCTCACAAACTTTTCTTACAACCCTTAACATGGTAGCTGAATTGGTG